GGAGGATTCGGGTCTTCACCTAGTACTCAGGAGGGTGCATGGAAAAGGGTCTCATGGAAACAGTGAGTGTCCGAGGCTTTCACTGTACTTACATGTTATGTGCTGTGCACTTAAAAGCCATCAAGGGGATTTTTCTTTCAGGGCAGTTTCCATGGTGTTTCTCTGTTATTGGTCAGTATACACTGGAGAGTTTGGGGGCAGATGGTGAGAGGATAAGACGTGATAAAGGTCGTGCCCCTGGTGCAAACCCACACCGAGGGCTTCAAGACCGACGGGCACTTCATGTGTGATCTTTGTATCATCTTAGCTCTGTACAAGATGTTTCTAGTGTTTTCATTTTTACAGGATCCCACCGTGTCAGATAGAATATTATCTGCAGTGAGGAACTAGTAAGACTATTGACCTAATAAGACAATTGGGCAAGTTACCTAGATCAACTAGAGGTCTAATTTTGCCCAAAAACAAGCTGGTAGGTAAAATACTGAAAGTGACCACTAATAGTAGCTGTGATTTAAATGGAAGTTAATTGTTCTCAAACTTTCTTTGATGTGCATAAAGTAGAGGAAAAATGCACTTGTACAAAGAGAGGATTTCATATCTTGTCAGGTGAATCATGGAGTTGAATTAACTTGATGCATGGGAGATCAACTTTGGGTTATAAAAAGCTCATCTGGCTCGATGATACAGTTAAAGACTCCCTGATAACTGTCACATTGGTTCACATGTTACTATGGCAACTATCTGCCACGTGGATTTGTTAGTGTGTGAGGCCTTGAGATCAGTTGATTATTTCCCATTTTTCTCCATTTGTAAAGAACGCCCTTAACATCCTGATACTGGGCTTAATTTAAGAAAAGACTCATTTATTTCACGATTAATGAAGTTCAGATGCTTAGCACGGAAGACTGCGTTCATTTAAGAATGAGGCTAAAGCACTATTTTGTTTCACTTATTAATAATATATCACTTATTACCTTACTACTCGAATGATTCTCCTGAAGATCAGCTTTTTATTTTCAGCCTGGACAAAAGGTCACTACTTCATCCTTTCATATCCAAATGTATGATTTTTCCTTCTTTCTTCTCAAAAGTATGTTAGTAATTATAATAGACCAACCCCCAATCTCCCCTTTGCGCACACACACACACACACCCCTCCTCCCAAAAATAATGAAATGTCTTTCCTCCTGAGGTAGCTTCTGAAATAATGGGCAGCGAAAGGGAGAGGGGGAGACCATAAACGATAATGAACCACCTCATTCTGCTTTTTTAATTCCCTCTGATTCCTCCCCCGACCCCCTCCTCCCCCTTTCATCCCGCTGTCACCTACACATTTTCTCATTTTTATTTTCATCCTGTCCAAACACACCCACCCCCTCCTCACCCTCTCCTCCTCTCCATCTTCCTCCAGACAGAGCCACCGCCCTGCCATCTCTCTCACCTCCTCTTGTCTCCTCTCCTCTCACTCCTCACCCAGTTGTCTGCACCCCCCCCCCAACCCCAACCCTGCCAGGAAGCATCCTGGGTAATTTCCTCCTCTTATTGAATTGGGACGGGGGGCTGATGGAGGGAAAGATAAAGGGATGGGCAGATGAGCGGAGGCTTGGGATGAGTGCTAATGGAGCCAGTGGAGGATTCGCACATCACAAATATGCAGCATTAACATCCTCCTCTCCTCTTCTTCTTCTTCTTCTGCTGTCTTCCTGTGGCTCATGTTCTCTCTCTGGAGTAAAAGTACAGATGCCCTTCTCTCCCTCCTCTCCTCTCACTCTCACTCATAACCACAACAACCCAGACAAAAGACTCAGACCTTCTTTTCACAGAATGCTTTGCTATTGAACACACACACACACACACACACACACACACACACACACACACACACACACACACACACACACACACACACACACACACACACACACACACACACACACACACACACACCACACACACACACACACACACACACACACACACACACACACACACACACACACACACACACACACACACACACACACACACACACACACACACACACACACACACACACACACACACACACACACACACACACACACACACACACACACACACACACACACACACACACACACACACACACACACACACACCCTAATGCTCCCCCATGTCCTATGTTATTTCTATAGGGGAGTGAGTCATTGTTCCTCTATTGTTGTCTGTACGTTTGCTCCTATGGGCCGCACACTGTAATCTTTCTGCAGCACAGTCTCATCCTCACACACACACAAATACATGTTCTATACATTCTGCCGAAAACAACACCTATATTTTAACTTGAGCTACTAGCTTAAAGAACTTCAAATATGAGTGTTTTGTTAGAGGTAGGTGAATAGCACATACTTTGCAGCTTTTCAAGATTAACTAGCGCTAAAACGTTATAAACGCACATAGGGAACAAGAACTGTAGGGTTAAATAAAGTAAACATTTCCCTCGGGGGACATTGTATCTCTATTACTTTGTTTTTGAGAGTTTTTTTTATTAAACATTCACCAGTTATGCTGTTTCTGTTGGATAATAAGGTTTATGGAGGACAACTGTAAACCTTGTGGATCTTCCATTTTATTAATAAAATGTACTGTAGATTGTTATTTTCGCTTATTTTGTTGGATTTAATGTCTTGGCTATTGAACTTCTCTTTACATGCATTGTACATTGAACTTTATGATAGGCTCCCCTTCAGCAGGAGATATATCTGGCCCGTCCTGCCCTCCCATCTGTGGTGAAGTTTATTGTCTTTGCACAATCGTATGACTGACATGAGTCCTCATAAATCTCATAATGAAAGTTGCTGAATATTGGCACACAGCCTCGACTATTGATCGAGATCCCACATCAGTGGAACCTTCACCGCTGTACGCTGCAGACAGCAACAACATATTTTATTCATCGCTCACAGTCTGCTTGTGATGCAGATCATTACACTGACGGATGTAATAATAATAATATATTTTATTTCTATAGCGCTTTTCTTGAACCCAAAGACGCTTTACATTTGGGAGGGAGGGTAGACAAACAAAACAACAACAACAACAAAAAAAGGATAGATGGATAGGATGTAGATAGGATGTCGAGGAATTATGGTTATCTTACAACATTTGAGAAACTTGATTCTGTCCTTGAGTGTCTTTTGATAATTGGTACGGAACAGACTTCAGGTCTTTCATCATTAAACTACAAGCAGCGATTATCAGTGAGTTAAAGGGTAAAAGCTGCAACAGTTGGACAAACAATTACTGTTTCCCCCGCGATGATAAGGTCACACAGAGAAATGTATGGTGGAGACATAAATAGAGAAAAATGTGTTTTTTATAAAAAATAAGAAGTTTTTTTTCTTCGCTGGATTCTAACATGGAAGTGATAATGAGAAGCGTGTCAATATTTGATCTAATTGAGGGGCTTTGACACTGTGTGAGCAAACAGACTGATAGAACTGTTTCATAACAACACCGCTGCAGATGTGAAGCCGTGTGAGTGTGTGTGTGTGTGTGTGTGTGTGTGTGTGTGTGTGTGTGTGTGTGTGTGTGTGTGTGTGTGTGTGTGTGTGTGTGTGTGTGTGTGTGTGTGTGTGTGTGTGTGTGTGTGTGTGTGTGTGTGTGTGTGTGTGTGTGTGTGTGTGTGTGTGTGTGTGTGTGTGAAGGATTAGTTGCCAAAAAAATAGATAGTGTGGGGAAAGGTGTGGAAGTATTGAACTGCATGTGGATTTTTTAACGTCTCTGAGTGTGTGTACGTGTGTTTGCGTGCGTGTGAATGTGTGTGGGTGTCTGTATATATCTTTGACAGACAGATATATTGGCATTCCAGTGTAAATTGGCACTTCCGTGTCTCTCTCTCTCTCCTCAGCTAATTAACTCAACGCTCAGGGGCCTGGCTTAATTGGAACGAGTGTAACCCGCCCACCCGTTATCTACACAAACACTCCCTTATTCACATGCACACAGGGAATATGATTGACAGCGAGTGTGTGGCACTGATAGTGGCAGAGGGTGAAGTGGTGTGGGAACAATACGGAATATACCAATCATTATCACACAAACACACACACACACTTTTTCTAATGAAGATATACGATCTAGTCGACTATTTATTCAGATTTGTCTCTTCCTATACTACCTGGCAGTCTGTTCTTTTGATGGATGATTGAGAGCAATGTTGCAAACCAACAGGTCTGATTTGTCTACGTTCAAATGCAGCCCTCTAGCAGCCATGGTACATGTTGTGGCTCTAGTTATTGTTTAGATTAATTACACTTTGCCTATTGAATATTTTTGGGTTTTTGCCCAGACAACACAAGCTATTTAAATAGTTGAACCTGGGCACTGGGAACTTGTGCTTGACATTTTTACTTTTTCTTGCATTTGATATTCTACGTTCCTCTGAAATCATGTCAAATGCATTGATAGTAAACTAGTTCAAAGTGATTGAATGCAAAACCAGCTCTTCTGGGTATATTTTCTATCGAAACCTTTTTTCTTCTGAGAAATGGAAAAAATGTTGTTTTCTGTTAATCAATCTACTTGTCTAACCATTCATTGTTCACATCTTTGTAGGCTAGCATTAATTAGTCATTGGATAAATATGCATTCAGTGCAGAGAAAACACAAACAACACTGTCTCGTACCTAATGAGAAGAAATGGTTTTGGTCCACTGACCCCCAGGACTGAAACAATACAATGTTTTAATTGCAAGTCGATGTGTGGGAGTTATATTTTCCAGCAAGGCATTAGTGGGCCTCCTACACGTCTTTGCTCAACACTCCAGTGTAAAAAACAACCTGCTGGTTTGTCAAGATTTACTCTATGATTCACTCTCAGGGAAATACTCGAGCTCTCAGGGTGCTCAGAAACACACACAACACATATTCTGTCTGACAACACAGGCAGAAGCGTAAATTCAAAACAAAGTAGCACTGCAGCCTTATACGGAGAGCTCGGCCTCCGTGACTTCACGTACCTTGTTGTTGCTCATGCACTGCAGCTTCATGTGTTTCATGTAGGTGGTGGTGAGAGGCATGTTGTAGTCTATCACCTCCAACACCAGAGAGCTTGGCCTGTCGTTCTCTGGAGACGAGAGGAGAAGAGACAGATGTCAGGCACTGATAACAATCCGTCCCTTTTTTTTGCTTTAATGTTGTAGTTACAATACGATGGTGTAGGCAGTGTTGTGGAGTTTGAAACAAATGTGTATCATCATTAAAATATGTATCTTTAACTACAATGTTAATCAGGTAATGCTGTATGGATGAATCAGAGGAAAACAACTAATAAACATCTGCCCCAGAAGAATACTAAACATCTGGTAGAGGGATAGAAAATCGAAGAATGTCAAAACAGGATCCCATCAAATATTTGGTGGAAAACATTTTGCTTTTAGAAATAAAGTTACTAACAATGTCTGAAAGGTTGCTATATCTAGGAGGAAAGTGGACAGTGCCTCTCTTATTTAGACGTCACTATTTCACTGTGATATCATTTGGAATCAATCACTTTAAGAAGATATTTTATTTTGTACTAAATACGATTCAAAAATTAAGTAAATAAGAGAGAATGGGAAAAAAGAGAAAATCCCAGTTTACTGTTTATTCATATTGTATTTTTTACTCCAAAATAATATGAATATCGCTTTGGCCAGTCTTCTTATTACCTCTAAAATACATTATATGTATAATAATTGAAACAAATTAGTCATTTGGATTCAGTGTGATTAAGGGAAAGGTTATTAAAACACTGTTGTGTATGTGCAAAATCACCAAAAATGATTGAAAGACACTCAAAAGAACATAATTGAGCTAAATCAAAGCTAAAAAAAAATGCTATTAACGGCATTCTGCTATAATGTAATATTTTAAAGTTTCACGAGGACACTAAATGTATAATCTTATCCCCTCTACTAACTGACAGCTGGTTGCTATCCTCCTAAACCTGTTAATGCTGAGTCTCACATCGTGCCTTTCCAGCGAGCCGACACTAGAGGCCGCTCTAGAGCTGGAGAGCAGCTCAGACAAAGAGCAGCAGGCTGACCCTGCTGATGCCTTTAAATCCAAACTGAAAAACTCAATTTAACTTTGAGTTAGCCGTTTCCTCATTGATTACATTGAAAAGCAAATAGCTAACTTTATTATTCCAGGCATGTCCTCTGTACTTTCTCTACATGTTGTCTACATTGTTATTATCCATCCTCAATTGCTCTTTCCAGTTTTTCCTGTAGATTTTTGGAAAATGTTGTAAAACACCTTGAGGCTAATTTGTGATTGTATTATTGGGCTGGAAAAATAAAGTTGAAGAGAGGTTGAGATGTAACATAAACAAAAAATATGAGTCTATCTTTGTCCAAATATGTTCAGGACAAAAGCTTTTTTCTCTGCTTTAGCAGGAAATAAAAGCACATAACACACCACACTATCTCTCAATCTCCACCCACACGTCTCTCCTTTTTAGTCATTTATCTAACTGACCTGTTAAAGGACGGGTCTAGCGTCTGGAGCGTCCGCAAAATGGACAATACAGGCCACCAGATCAATACGGCTTAGCAGAATAGACATCATTGATTGGTGATTGATAGCCATGTATGAGGACGGGAGTGTGTGTGTATTCTCCAGAGAAGGACACACTGTGATAACTGAGTAATTATGTGACAGCTGCAACACGCCTGCTCGCTCAGGACAAAGATGATCTTAGACCTGAGATGGTGTTTGAAATGTGTAAAACCAATGAAAGAAAGAAAATAACGTTTTAGAATATTTTTGCTGTGTAAATGGATGTAATAGTGAGCATGAAATGCAGGTTTAAATGTCCATATGATAAGAAAGGTCTACTAAAAAGGCTGTAATTGTATAAGAACATAGGAGGTTCCCATCAAGTGTGTATGAAGAAGTTTATAAATAATCCAAACTGAACCTCACAAATCAGAAAGGCCCGCGGTGTTGATTGGATAGCTGTTGTTAGCAACGCCTCCAAAATGTAAGGTTGAGCAATTTTAAAGAAATGGCAAACATAAGGTCAAGATATATATAGAGCCTCTTTAAAAATTCATTTTTTGTATCTGTTCTCTAAGCGTACTGTAGGTGCGCTCACACAACAACAAGAAGTTATTTTTTCTGGAAACCTGTTGTTCACTTGTTAATATTCCATACCCGACGACACACAAATAAAACCATAAGTAAGTAGACTGTTGGTTTTGACAATGCGACAGGTCTGTTTGCTGTGAGGTAGTGTGGTCGTCTACCAATCAGAAGGTTGGATCTAGGCCCATGCATGTCAGTGCAAGACATTTACGGGGTATGGGTTGGAAGACTATATAAATTCAGTCCATTTAGTTTACTGCAATAGACGCTCAAGTCAAATTTATTTATGAAAGTCCAAGATCGCAAATTTGGCTCAAAGGACTTTTGTAATAGACACTACACTGTCTGTCCTGAGACGCTTAACTTTTAATAGACTTTATTATTTTTTTAAACGTTCCTGAAAGATCAACAGAGGAGTGTTCACTCTTATAGGAATGTGATACACTGTACTGGTTTAGCGGCAACTTTGTAATAAAAAGGTGTTCATTTTTCTACATTAATAATATCTTCCACTACACACTAACACCCGCACACATGCCTACACACACAAACACCGACACACACAGCGAGCCTGCTGCCTGTGTCAATTAAACATGGTCCTGGTCCATACTGATTAATTGCATTTAATAATTCACAGCTGAACTTTAGTGGGAGTCACAGTGTGTGTGTGTGTGTGTGTGTGTGTGTGTGTGTGTGTGTGTGTGTGTGTGTGTGTGTGTGTGTGTGTGTGTGTGTGTGTGTGTGTGTGTGTGTGTGTGTGTGTGTGTGTGTGTGTGTGTGTCAGGGAGAGGTTGAACCCCCACAGGGTAGGAAGGCAATTAGCTGCTGTCTCTCTCCAAGTGCTATCCAATGATGGCGAAATGTACACACACATGTACACCCACACGTATACACACACACAGCCCAAGTATCACCGCTATGGCTGTTACTCTATGTGCGTCTGTGTTTAAATGTTTGCTTTTATTTATCTTTCAATTTAATTATTAATATTTTGTCCAATTAAACATTATTTTACCATTTTAATTTCCTTTTTTTTTTCTGATCAATGATCAGCTTGTCCAAGCAAACAGGCAAATCAAATTGTGTTTTTTAATTCACATTAAATCTTACATAAACAAAAGTGTACAAAGCTGTCACTGTGTAATTTACGGCAGCAAGTTCTTTTTTCTGAAGTTGGTTATGGATAATAATTGCAAAAAAAAAAATCAATTTGTGTCACTGAAAGCAACTTTTCCGAGTCAGTACTACCCTCTCATGCTTTCTCTTCAAATCTCCTTTCTCTTCCCCCTTTTTTTTCCACATCTCAGTTTCTCTTCTTAGCCCCCCACCCCCCCCCAACAGTGCCGGTTCTTTCTCCCTCTCTCCCCCGACTCTGTGGCAAATGAGCTCGTTTCCTGAGCCATTTTCTTTGTTAAAAGCCATTAATTAGGCTAATTGAGGAGAGAGACAGGACATTCCAATGACTCCTCTGTTTAATGAGGGACGAGGAGGAACATCCAGGGGTGGGTGGGGGATGTGGGAAGAGAAGGATGGACGGAGGGTATGGGGAACGGGTAGAGGAGAAAGAAAGGAGGATGGGGGAGGCGATGGTTTCAGGGATGGGACAGGAAACCCGGAGCAGCGTGGAGGGGGGGGGGAGATGATGGGAGGAGGGAACAGAAGAAGAGCTAGAAGCGGGGATGGTTGGTGGGAAGCTTGGAAGAGAGGAGAAAGGAGGAGAGAAAAGGGAGGGATGGACAAGCTGGAGGGGGGATGGAAGGATGGGCAGGCAGAGGGGGAGGCATGGGAGAGGGAAGGGGGTGGAAAAAGATGTGGAGGGGGCCTTCAGGGTGCCAGTAGTAATAGAAAATATATAATGGGGGGTTGGCACAGTGGAGCGGATGGTGAAGAATGTAAAATGAATCATCTTGTCTTTCAGCTGGCAGCTAAAACGTCCAGACTGAGACTTTGACAATTATTTTATGTAGATCCTCATTTCATGTTCCCGTTATTACAAAATATGTGTGTAAAAGTCTAAAGCCTGGAAGCTCTTAAAGGATGAATTCACCTTCTTCTGAAGTTCGAAACAATACTCACATGCTTTATGTACATTTTACCAGTTATTATTCCTGCTGTTAACAACACATTCATTCTCATTCCTTAGCTGATGCTGCTATAACAGAAGGTCTCTGCAGGGTTGTGTTTCCCTGGTTGCCTCGCTGACTGCAGCAGAGGGATAGACAAACTGAAAGGAACATTTTTTTAGATAAATGCTGCAAGACGATTGATTTGGACGTGCCCTTCTTGGTTTGGATCATTCGGCTTTGAAATGTAATTCTGCGCAAAATGAGGACTGTGAAAATTACCTCTTAAATTTGAATTCCAAGAATTATTGACAATGGGACCCCATCTTTTAAAGGGGAAGTACTCCGATTGTACACATTAAAGTCTGTTTAATGGTCTGCCTAATTGAAGATTAATGTCCTCAAGTTATGATCTTATAGTTTTAGATTAGATTAGATTTTAAAGACTTATTTAATGTCAATTGGAATACAATGTAAGATCCAATTACAATATCTAAAACTGTTATTAAGAATTATTTGGCTTCTTTAGCTACCACACTTATACGTGGAGTGTGTGTAACCATTTCTTGACAGGAGAAAATCATAATAGGCAGCTCTGCCACTATTTACACATTCACAGGGAACTACAAATAGAGCGTATTTTCCACGTCTGCTCATCAGATGCGTATGCCTCCTTTACATCTCCCATTTTATATTCAATTTCATTTTGAGTGATGTTGATCCGCTTTTGTTGGAATGGAGGAAAGGCGGGAAAAAGAAAACCCAGTGAGGCTAAACATCTAAACGCAGCGCCCATTAGTTTTATCTTTAATTGTCTCCGTGTTCAGATCCTGGTGATTGACAGCTGTGGCGGCAGGAACTCAGCCAACTGAGCACGAGGAAGGCGGTGCTAACAAAATGCCTTTCATCTCAAAGAGAAACAAAGCATATTTTCTGCTTTAAAAGAGTTACAAAACATGTTTATTCTATAATTCAAATATTCTCCATGAACATCCATAGCTACCTCTTCCAGGCTTTTACATCCTCAAAGGAAATATAAATCTGGGTAAAACAATCACTATTCATTTCAATAAAGTGCAAAAAGTTAAAGATTATGCCACTCATTATTATTGTCAATTTTAGAAAACTTCTCCCTGATTGTTGTTTAAACTGCCTGATTTTATTTGTGTGTCTTTTCTTTTCAGATATAGGATGTGTTGATGATTTTTCCAAGGGGAGAGAGGGCATATATGTGAGAGAGAAAGGCGAGGGGAAGGATGAAAGAGGGGGAGACGGACTCTAATTGAAAGACATTGTGGAGAAAGAAGGCAAATGAGTGATGACAAAGAGAACGAGCAGAAAGCAGAGGAAGAGTGAGAGACGGGCTGATTCCTTTGAGCCTTCAAAACTCGAATGCAGAGAAAGAAAAACAGCGCAGGGAGAGGGGATTTATACTTTCCTTCGCTAGTAATGGATTTCAATTTCATGCCAATACAGCGCATTATAATTCATTTAAGTGAATGTGGAAAAAACGAGCATAATATTACAATAAATTACACTAACTAAATGTACCCGTTTAAACAGCGTTGACATTTGTTATCCTTTATCTACTCATGTCTACTTTAACTATTCAATTTTACAATAATAGAGATTATTTTCGCTCCTTACTGAAATGAGGCGGCGCCAGAGATTTTCTTTTGGGGGTGCTGTGGGGTAGCTTAACGTTTCATAGAGGGTGCTCAAACATTTAGGGTTTCCCATTAATGTCCCGGGCGCTACAGTTGAATCTTCTACTGCAACACTCCCCACACGCATACACAGTGTACCTGTGACTGCTACAATGAAGGCTCGATAATCAGCTCACGGCATATAGGTGTAAGCAGGGTTAAAGTGCTAAGTGGGGAGTGGACCTAACATCCTCTAGGGGGCTCCGGGGGCATGCTCCCCCGGGAAGATTTTTTTTAAATATTGAAATGAAAAGCATCAAACTGGTGCACATCTCAGATATGAAACAGAACTGTAAACCGATTTTCTATTTCTTTATGGATATTTTACAAATCACTCTGTACAAATTACTGTCATGTAGTATTTCATACCTGTTTTTCATTTATGCTCTTATTTCTTTATACCTATAATGATCATATAAACGTGTACCTCAGAAATACTTGTTTACATTAATCGTGACCAAATCGTTTTGAGACCCACTGAGATAACTTAAAGTTAGCTATGTAAACACTGAGAGTCCTTTACTTCACCTGAGCTGAGGTTATCTGAGACTCTCAGTCTGACAGGAGAGAATTCTCCCTCCACCTTGTTGTTGAAAAAGCTCCTTATATCCGTTAGCGTAGCTAGCACCAGATGCTAACCACAACGATCTCCGGTACCGGTGCGCGCTCTCTCTCTCTCTGCTCGCTCCCGCACGCACACAAAATGGCTCGTGCCACATACACACAGAGCAGAGCTTGAATGAAACGCAGAGACCCAGAAGTAGGCTACTTGTACTGTAGCATATTATTTTCGAATCAATCCTTTTTCAAATTATGAATTTCACACCTAAAAAAAAAGACATACATTTCTTGGGGGTGCTTAGGGGGTGCTATGGCTATCCTGGGTGGTTAGCGCCCCTAGCGCCCCCCTGGAGCCGCCACTGAAATGAAGTAGCATTAGATAGAACTAAAAGGTTATTGTGTACTCAAAGAAGAAAACAAGCAACGCAAAATTATCAAAATTGTATGTAAAAAAGTGGCAAATGTCACCCAGAATGCAACTCAACTCCCTGAAAGGTTTTTTTGAGGTGGCTTCTAGTCCCCAGCAGAAAAGAGACACTTTCTAACTCCAGATCTCATGATAGCCTATAGCCTCACTTTGATGCCCACAAAAGGCTTTATACAACTTCTCTCTCAAAACGTTAATAGGTACAGTAATGATGTCTAAAATCAATGGCTTTCCCTCTTTATATTCATTCAAGGTAGTGGTTGTCAAAATCAGCCCCTCAGTCACTACTTCCTATACTGCAGGATAAACTTTTAGTAGTTCACTCTATGTTAGCTAAACTGAGAGTTTGGACATTTACTGTATAAAGAGATCCCGTTCCGTTGTATCACTACATCTAGAAAAAAAGTTCTGAGGGCAATATAAATAACACTTTTTCGGAAACTCAAACGATTGGTAGAGGGTTAAAAAACTGCTCCATGCCTAAAAAATAAAATGATCATATTGAGAACTATCCCTCTGGCAGGGAGATGTTTGCCATTTGTGCGGCGTAAGAAGTCTCCTCAGGCTCAAACTGAGCAGAGACGACTTACACACTGTGACGTTTGCAGCAGCCTGTGTGTGTGTGTGTGTGTGTGTGTGTGTGTGTGTGTGTGTGTGTGTGTGTGTGTGTGTGTGTGTGTGTGTGTGTGTGTGTGTGTGTGTGTGTGTGTGTGTGTGTGTGTGTGTATGTGTGTGTGTGTGTGTGTGTGTGTGTGTGTTCTGTGTGTGTGTGTGCGCGCGTGCGTTGCGTGCGTGTGTGTGTACCTTTGTAGTCCTGTCCTGCGGTGCTGATGTGCATCCTCTTCTGACACTCTCCACAGCTCATCAGGAAGTGAGTCACCGCCTCTCTGGGCAGGAAGGCGTACGTCTCGGCTATCTGAGGGAGAGACGGGTTTGTAAACTCCGGTTTATACATTGCTGTGTTGACAGTTTTATAAATGCAGGTTTTAAGTTTGTAATTTCTTACGTTTCCGATAATGACCCTTTAACAGCCCTAAGTAGCGCGGGCATGGACTGAGTGAGAGCAAGAAAGGAAGTTTTAATTTGACTTATTTAACGATGCATACTGAAACCAAATCAAACCTGAAATATCCATACCAAAATACTATGAACAAAAAACACTTTAGTCTGCGGGACTGACACTAAGATCTAAAATGTTTACACCAAATATTTAAATATAAATATATATTATTAAACCACAAAAAAATGTAAGTTATGAATCTTTATCATTCATATATTGTTGTCATCAAAAAAGGGCCAGAATGACATGACAGGCTGCCATTACCTGTCAAGCCATTACTTGTCTCAAAGCGTTTAAAGATGGATTTTTTGGATGTGACTGCACTCTGTATTGTTGATCATATGCATCTATGAATTAGTGGGTGTGTTTGAATGTGCGTATGCATAAATCAAACATTTATTCGGGAAGAGAGGCACAAAGACACAAAAGAGGAGAGGAGGAAGGGTGGAAAATCGCCAGCGTGGGTGGGTGGGGGTTGCTGTGCAGCACCCGTGTGTGTGTGTGTGTGTGTGTGTGTGTGTGTGTGTGTGTGTGTGTGTGTGTGTGTGTGTGTGTGTGTGTGTGTGTGTGTGTGTGTGGTGTGTGTGTGTGTGTGTGTGTGTGTGTGTGTGTGTGTGTGTGTGTGTGTGTGTGTGTGTGTGTGTGTGTGTGTGTGTGAAGGGTGAAGGAGGGGGTAAAGCAAAGGCAAATGTCACTCACAGCCCTCAGTGGCACTCAGACCTGCAGCTATGTGGCATGGAAAGCTAGCTCCTGGCTTTAAGGATACTATGTGCTGTATATAGAGCAGAGGAGATGGACACAGAGGACAATCTGACAGATCAATCCTCATCTGTTTTATTCTATTTTATCTATCTTTTTCAAACAAAAAGAAAGAAGATGTAAATATCTCTAAAAAATAAAAAAAGGAGGAAAAGTAATGTGAGCAAAGTGAAACATGAGAACAATGAAAGCTGGCTGACAGACAGTTGTGACAGCTTCCCTCTGCAGGGAGATAAATCTGTTGAAGCTGCACTTCCCCCGTTTAACCAGAAGAGGGCAGTGTCATCAGATGAACAGCACAGGATGCTCTTTTCAACTCCAACAGCACAGGTGGATTAATTTCAGCCTATTCCAAAACTCATAACCTTACCAAAGATTAAACAATAAAATCAATTTCTACATCTGCCCTGATCACTAGCAAAATGTCTCCACATGTTTACAACTCTTTTCTTTTTTGGTTTAAGGTTATATTACATTAGGTGTAAGGTAAAGTCCATGTTAAAGGTTGTTGAAGTCCCATCAGTGACAGTAAGATGAAACAAAAGGATTGGTGGAAAATAAATTGACAAAGAAAAAAGGAAAATAATGGGAATGGAAAAAATAGTCCTGCTGATAATGAGAGTAGGCCACTTTCACTCTCTGTCAGATGCATTCAGTGACCTATAAAATAGCAGTGTGAATTTCATTTACCATTTTGTTCTCCCTGATATTGATATTTTAAATACAACTGCAAGAACAGGGGTTTCTTTCAGTCATTAGGGCAAATCGTTATGTTGTATCTCAGGCAGCAGCTAACAATTATTTTCAATACCAATGAATCTATCAATTATTTTAACAATTAATTGTTTCATTTGCTTTTTTCTCTTGAACCTCCTGAATTCAGTTTATTCTCACGCAATATATAGAAATGCAGATAAATTCCCAGAAAAAAGAAGCTGGAAATTAATTATGTCTAACAAATAACTTGGAAATAATTATTTTTGTGAAGATTGGATTAATCTACTAACCCAGCTCTAAAATAGCCTGGCTCCCGCTATTTAACATGATCAAAACTCCCTAAGTAGAAATTGACTGGCTGTGGTTGCTAGTTTAGTTTCACAGAAATTCAGACTGAAATCCATCTGATCAAATACTGAAACCAGGCGGTCTGTTTCTTTTCTCTCTTTTTTACAATGGACTCTAAAAGAGGAATGAAGAGCAGAAGAAGAGGAAGAGAGATAAAGGGAGGACAGCGTGTGTTGAGCAACACAAGTTATGAAAGAGAGAACACACTCAGCAGGGGAGAGGATGCCGTGAGACAGAGGAGACAGAGGCGTGACACTGAAAGAAAGAGAGGCAATCACTAACAAAAGAACAAAAGAAAACAGACACAAACACCAAGAAGAATCAGATATTGCACATGTGTTTACAATAAACATATGACTTTCTGGTATTTTAAACATGTAGTATGAATGCTAGCATGACAGGATTCTTACAGCTTTGTAGGTCTTCTTCTGGCCGGCATGTTTCGGGGCTTTGCCGGGGTCCGTGCTCATCTCCACGTGCATGGCATAGATGATGTCGAAGAAATCTTCCACCACCGCCACACGCTTCAGGGACGAGTCCACCCCGGACACTCCGTCCACACACTGGAAACACAGGGAGAGACACTTTGAATTTCCTCAAGTTTGTCTGCTTGTGTTTTACAATTCACAACAATGACAATAACGATAGAGGAGGACAGAGTTGAGTGCAACAAAGATTTTCAACCAGAATCAAACCAGGAACGACTACAAGTGACAGGAAAAAGATCGTCCAAATGCGACCAGAAGTATCTCACAAAGTGTTTAAATCTGCTTCTAAGAATCAATCCATCCTGACAGAAACATGATTTAAGACATGGGGAGAGTTAAGATTGTATGACTTGTTGCATCTAGAAACTCCCAAACCTCTCAAACTCAAATTTAAAATAGGTGTTAAAGACATAAAAAAGTATAGCAAATGTCCTCCTTAGCTTGCTTTAGAAACTTTTCTTGATAGATTAGATAACGCCATAGAAAATCCACCATGTTTCTAAAGTTTGATTATCAGAATTGATTAATCACAGCCCAGAAAGTATTCCTTCTGTCTAGTGCAGGAACAAATAAATAAGAAATATGTTTTTAAAAGGTTGTTTCAGTCATGTAGCCCACATTGTTTTTCTTTTACAACAATGTGTTATCATTTTTACTTAACAATACAAAAATAATCTGCAAAATAAAAAGCATCTGTATAATACAAGGCAATATTTTGAAAAACTTAACGCAGAAAAGAAAAGACACATTACATAATCTCGGGAACTGCAATGCATCTATTGATCCTCTTGAACATTACATACATTTAGATCCTTAACATCAATGAAGGGCCTCCATACAATCTCAAATACATGCTGTCTAGCTCTTAATATATAGGATATATTCTCCAATGGGAGGCCTGACAGCTTCCGTCACAACCAATGAGTGATGCTCGGGCTGTGAGCCTTGTTCCCAAACAATGCAATACAGGTTTTGGCGTAGATAGAGTCAAAATATTACAGCCATTACAATGATGCATCTGAAGCTGTTTTCACATACTGATAAAGTAATGTGTCTGGTGTCAGTGCACATTTGAACATTTACTCTTCGCTTCCCCAAAAATAAGTGCAGCCGTATTGGTTATTGTAAAGGTTGTTTGCATTATATTATAACTTTTGTATTGTTTTATAGGTTTAAAATGTGTATTTGTTGTCAGCATGTAAAATATGAACATTTAAGGAGTTAAATGAATACCATAAAGCAGCCTTAACACACACATACTGCCAGGTGTTTAGCTGCTGTAGATATTTAAAGTGGAATGAAACGTTTACAACATGCTAATTTCCTCTGATGTGTAATGGTGTGAAATAAATGTATGATTTATAATTATACTTAAATGACTGAGCAGGCCTGAATTAGACAAAGACTCCTACACCTGCTGCATGTTAACTACAGATCCCAGAGGACGGAGCGCTCTCCCTCTCTGCCTCTCACAAACATGGGAATACCAGGAAGTCTGGACAGGAACCACCCTTTTTCCCACAAGGCAGTGGGAGTGGGAGATGTACCTCGGTGGAATTAAGGACTCAGAAGGGTGGGAAAAAGGGTTCCTGCAGGTTTCACCAACTCAAATTTAAGACTTTTTAAGACCTTTTTAAGACCACTTTGATAGAATAAGACCTATTCCACGGCAAGAAAGTATGAAGGAAAATTGCTATGAAAGAAGAAATACGTCCCATAATTAATTACAAAGTAAATGTATTCATGTTCAACATAAGAACGATGACTGAACATAACAGCATAACAGTACACAGAACTGTGTTAGCGTGTTAGACAAAAAGTAAGTGTGTGTGTGTGTGTGTGTGTGTGTGTGTGTGTGTGTGTGTGTGTGTGTGTGTGTGTGTGTGTGTGTGTGTGTGTGTGTGTGTGTGTGTGTGTGTGTGTGTGTGTGTGTGTGGCCTAGCATTACTATACTTGTGGGGACCTAAATCTGTTTACACAGTCACATGTGGGGACTCACCTCCCTTATGGGGACAAATTGGAGGTCCCCTTGAGGAGAATCACTAATTTTAGGGTGAAGACTTGGTTAGGTTTAGGATTAGGGTTAGGGTTAGGGTAAGGTTAAGGGTAAGGGTTAGGCATGTGTTGGTTATGGTTAAGATTAGGATAAGTCTCTAGGAAATGCATGTAAGTCAATGTAATGTCCCCTGAAATGATGTATACATGGTGTGTGTGTGTGTGTGTGTGTGTGTGTGTGTGTGTGTGTGTGTGTGTGTGTGTGTGTGTGTGTGTGTGTGTGTGTGTGTGTGTGTGTGTGTGTGTGTGTGTGTGTGTGACAAGAGCTATATTCTGAGCTCTGCTGCCTTCATGCTGTTGTATGATTGTTGTTTAGCTACGGTATTTACGGCGTCCACAGCACCTCCGCTTTTAGGGTTGACGTAGACCCAAATGTCACCCGGAGGTCCCCCGATGTTGTTGCGGGAGCTGCTTCAAACACGTTCCCCTCCACTGGTTTCAACCAAGCACTACATTCGATGTTTTTCTACCAAATACGGTTGAACTTACACTTCCCCATATTTATTTGTAAGTAGAAACAAAGTTAGTGATTACTGGTTCCATGTTGATTTAGTTCAATACAAATTGTTGTTTGGGGGAACTGAAAGGCTATTACCGTACTGGTTACTTTGCAGCCCGGACATTTCCCCCAAAACACATTTCCACGCGATCGCAACACAGAAGTACAGTACCTTTGAAATCCGATCATTTTTAAGACCTTCTAAATCATATTTAAGACCTTTCTTATTTTTTTGATCATATTTAAGACTTTTTAAGGCCTTGAATTCTGATTATCAAATGTAAGACCCCGCGCGAACCCTGAGTGTGTATTTTGTTTTTTAGGTAAAGAAACAGAGAGATAGAGAGGATAGACAGGGGAGAAAACTAAGCGGGGGAGAAAGAGATGGAGGAAAGAGAAAGGGGGGGGGGGGCTTCTTATACCTGCCTAGACAACTAAATATGTGTCAGTAGCAAACAACACACACACACTTTTCCAGCTGCAAACAAGTAGCACACAATAACGCACTGCCATGGTAACCAATGAAAGCTGAGGGGTGTGTGTGTGTGTGTGTGTGTGTGTGTGTGTGTGTGTGTGTGTGTGTGTGTGTTTCTACATATGAAATAATATATATGTGTGTCTGCATCATATTTTCTGCAACATGTTGTGTGTTGAAGGGCTTCTAACAATAACCGTGTCACTAGTGACACACACACACACACACACTCACACACACACGCTCTCACACACACACGCACGCTCACACACAGACCAGAGTTCATGGTTACTGAAAATAAAATAGTCTGCAGTACAATTAGGAGGTAAAAGCTTGTGTACTGCACATGTACTTTGATCAAATCTTTGCTTGCAGCAGTCCAGAGAAGCTACAGTGCCAACAGAGAAATAAATGTTATACAAATAACTTCATGGTCATTTTGGAGGTAGTAGTGTTGTTTTTATTTCAAAGGTAAAACAAATAAGTAAAAACCTTGGATAAATACGCCAACATTGGATCTTACTGTGTTAATTTTGTGAGACAGGTGGCCCAGGATTTCTAGACCAAAATAAGAATAACGTTGGCGATGAAATACAAAGTATAAGGAAAACATACATTGATACACGAAGACGAAAACGCTGGAGACGCTGTAGTACATATGCCGGGCCTGTAAGTGGCGCTGTACTTCCGCCACAAAATACACCAAAAGCAGCGAATAAGACCGATGATGATTATTATTATTATATTATATTATTATTGTTGCTGATGGTTGTGGTAGAGGAGCTGTAGATTTTGCATTAAAATCTGTATCAAGCACGAACGCAACCCTGTGATCCGCCATTGTTGTTGTTATTGGCGAAACGCATCAGCAGTGACACGGGGGTGAGCAGGAAAGGTGGGGAGAGGCGTATAGGGCGTACACACGGAGCGTTTCGTCCTCAGACCTACCGACTTTGGGAGCCGTTATCAAAGTGTATCGGATTCGTGCTCCGAATCCGCGGCTCCGTTTCGGCCTCATGTGGACGAACCGTCTATACGATAGAGACTGTTAGCGGATTCAACTGATATCGTCTCCGTGTGGACGGGGCCACTTAGATGCCAAGACTTGAGTCAACAAAAAATTCCACAAAAGGAAACAGAAGGAAGTTGATTAGATTTGATAAAAACTCCCAAAGACATTTCAGACAGGACTCGCAAAAATACTCAATGTGAAAAGCTGGCTAAATTAACTGTATCTCATCCATATGTAGACGCAGAGCTGATATTAGAGTGTGTGCAGACACCGGGAGTTCACGACTGCCTCTAGGATTTTTCATTTCCACGTCACAACCTGTTATGTGTGTGAACTGTGTTAAATATCCAGCTATCAGGGAGCGGGACGCCTGTCTAACTGTGTGTGTGTGTGTGTGTGTGTGTGTGTGTGTGTGTGTGTGTGTGTGTGTGTGTGTGTGTGTGTGTGTGTGTGTGTGTGTGTGTGTGTGTGTGTGTGTGTGTGTGTGTGTGTGTGTGTGTGTGTGTGTGTGTGTGTGTGTGACAAGAGCTATATTCTGAGCTCTGCTGCCTTCATGCTGTTGTATGATTGTTGTTTAGCTACGGTATTTACGGCGTCCACAGCACCTCCGCTTTTAGGGTTGACGTAGACCCAAACGTCACCCGGAGGTCCCCCGATCTTGTTGCGGGAGCTGCTTCAAACACGTTCCCCTCCACTGGTTTCAACCAAGCACTACATTCGATGTTTTTCTACCAAATACGGTTGAACTTACACTTCCCCATATTTATTTGTAAGTAGAAACAAAGTTAGTGATTACTGGTTCCATGTTGATTTATTTCAATACAAATTGATGTTTGGGGGAACTGAAAGGCTATTACCGTACTGGTTACTTTGCAGCCCGGACATTTCCCCCAAAACACATTTCCACGCGATCGCAACACAGAAGTACAGTACCTTTGAAATCCGATCATTTTTAAGACCTTCTAAATCATATTTAAGACCTTTCTTATTTTTTTGATCATATTTAAGACTTTTTAAGGCCTTGAATTCTGATT